ATAGCCCTCTATTTTCTGAGAGTACGTGCACAGTGCTGTACATGCACGCACGGTGAGGCTCACAGCTCTTATTCATCTCCTACATCTATAACTCTCTAATACTCCTCACAGGAGTTTTATGATCCCAGGTTTGAAGTACTTGACTGTATCTTTATGACCAGCAAAGCCTGATAACTTCTTCCTTCAAGTAGCGCAGCTCATTGGGTATTCATGGCCTTCACTGGAAATATGCTAAGAGGCTTTTGAGCAAGACACAAGCCTGCGGGCGATAGCAGGCCGGCTACTGAATGAGAGGTCTTCTTGGCCCTGACCCTCTCCCCAGCTTCTCCTTTCATCCCTAGATTAATGGCACAGCCAGAGACTGACTCCTCCTGCTCGCCTCTATTGTGTCCTATTCATCTGCCTCTACTACCCCTCACCTCCTGTCTCCCCCATGTCATAATTTGCACTGGTCTGGTCTCAGAATGGCATCCTTTTTTGTACTTTTTAAAATAACTTTTAAGTAGAAGGGAGGAAATTAAATCTGTTCAGAATAGATATAAGCTGACTGTTTGTATTAAGGTGCTGTAGCTTGGGTTGATATATTGTGCACAGCAGATGGCACATTATATTAGTTGCTGCACTTGTACAGATCCTTTTTGTTTATTCACATATCTTACAGATGATGCTTCACAATAGTCTAAATACTCTTTCAGAACACAAGGTGGCAGTCTGGGAATATAGAAAAAGAAAGCTTCTCTGTACTGGCTGTATAAACTAATGGTATATCAGAAAAGACAACCTTTCTTACCACGTATAAAAACCATATTAATGCAATTTCAGCTAATGTATCTGCTCCTGTGTGCTATATAAAGAGAAATTTGAAGTAGAAGCCTTGAAGATCTTTTGAATAAGCATCATAGTCTCCTAGAACTCTTATCTTTTCTGTCCTTGGCTGATTGATTATTGAGTGCATTGGTGTTCTCAGGAGGGGCGTGTTCGAGTCACCCTGCTGGCACGGAGCACAGAATATAGAAGGATATTAAACCAAGTGGAGGTAAGTCCTGCACCACCTCACCTCCTTCCCTCTTTCTTCCTTGTACTTGTTATTCTTCCTCTATCCTGCTCTGCCTTTTCCTTCTTTCTTTCTCTTTCCGCAGTTTTGCCTATCCCCCCCCCCCCACACCCCCCCCTTCCCTTCCTTTCCATTATTGATTTACTGCCCGACTCTGTTTAGTGTTTATTTAAAATCTTATTTGCTATAAACAGTACAAGTAAAAAGGGCTTGTGATTTATATGGCCACTGTCCATATTTGTTTGCTCTCTCTCTGATCAGAGAACACGCCCCTCTGTTGTTGTTGTTGTTGTTGTTGTTACAGCTGGTAAATGCCCTCAGGACTGTGCCTTTACTGGAGGTCAACGTGGTGGACTACAAATACAAGTGAGTTATAGAGTGCTCACCACATTACTACAGGAGGTATTCAGTACTGCTCAGGGATGTAACAGTGCTGTATAAGAATAAAGAAAGTGTTGAGCTTTTCACACTGTGTAATATGACACTGTTCACACTGAAGATAATTGATGTGCTACTCCCTGTTTGTCTTTCAGGGATGTTCCTTTCCTGGAGCAGCTGAGGATCACCCACAACTCTGACATCTTTATAGGGATGCACGGGGCAGGTCTCACACACCTCTTATTCCTCCCTGACTGGGCTGTGATCTTTGAACTGTGAGTGACACTTTTTGTTGACCTGTTTGTGTGTAAAAGACAAAAAAAAAAAAGACAGAGAGAGGAGCAGGGAGAGTGATGGGTTTGGCAGCAGGCTGAGCCCAAAGTGCCCCTGAGCCACTTGGTGTGTGACTGTGAAATACTGCCTAATTAGCCAGCCATTCATCACACCTGACTACTCTATGTAGAGCAACTGATTGGAGTGTGTGTGTCAGGGGGGAGCATGTGCGGGATTGTTTTCTGTGCATTTTAGTGAGGGGCACAGAGAGAGAACCACAGTGTCCATACAGCGAGAGACAGAAAGATGGAGCAAGGGAGAGTTAAAGTGAGGCAGACCGAGGAGAGCAAGAGATAAAGTGTCTGCATCTGTCCCTCCCAGATATAATTGTCAGGATGAGAGCTGCTATCGAGATTTGGCTCGGCTGCGGGGCATTCGGTACGTGACTTGGCAGAAAATGGACAAAGTGTTCCCACAGGACAAGGTAGGGGAAACTCCCATACCAACCATTAGCTCCCCCTCAGCATGAGCTTTCTCAGTTCATCTCACCTACCTCACACACATTTAATTATGTGCAGTTATAGACATAGTTCAAATGCTCAGACTTCATTTCATACTTACATTATCTCTCTGCCACTTCATTGAGAAGACCACCTTATAACATATGTTTATGCTTATATGTTGCCTTTCCTTGTGTTCATTTACTGTACACACGTTTCCTCTGATACTTTTTTCAGGGTCATCATCCCACCCTTGGGGACCATCCGAAATTTACCAACTATAATTTTGATGTGGGGGAGTTCATGCGACTTGTGCTGGAGGGAGCCAGTTATGTCACAAACCATCACCAGTATCAGCGTCGAGCCCATCATGATGAACTCTAGACTAGAGTCTCTGTAAGTGGAGTTAGGGTACAAATATCTGACTGCTGAAGAACTCTGAACACGAGCCTGCCTTTAGTTGTGATCATCTTGACACCGGCAGTGAACTTTAGTGTCTTTTTATTTGTTGTAAAGTTACCTCATTCACCAGTAGTCTAACTGAATATATGTCACCATCTGTCTGCTGCTTGTATAGGTCTGGATGAGTGAGAACAGCATGGCAGGCAACTCTGGTTTGACTCGTTTCCATCAGCTCTGTTAGCGTCAGATCAGTTAAAGGATGAGGCGTGCGCAGTCGAAGCATCTGTGGAGCAATAAGATGTGTCCTATGTTTCTTCATTATCTCCGCTGCACCTTACTTCATTCCACGCCAACAAAGTTAGCTAATGAGCAGCTGTTACGATGTCCCTTCACGTGTGACATATTGTCACATTTGATCAGTGTCACCTTGATACGAACCTCTTCAGAGCTGTTGACAATCAGCCCAGAGTTTCTGAGCATATCCAGCACACCCCAGTCTAATATGATATGAAGTAGTCACAAGCCAGATGTGCTTGTATAGTTGCAGATGTAGACTTTTTGGGATTAGTTTGGCATAATGAAATCATGTGATCTTAAATTATGCTCATCAGCAACAAAGCTCTAAGTGAATGCGACACTCCTTACTGTCAGGAGGATTTATTTTGTATCAGCATTTCTACAGTACAGTATGAGCACATTCAAGTGCATTAATACTTTGAAACACTTTAATATTAAATATTATGAAACATACTGTACATTATAGTATTTGCTTTAAGAAGTTGAGCACTCCATTGTTTCACAAAACATTGACTATTATGTTTTGTCACTGAAAAGTAACAGGCTTTTAAAATCTTTTACTATGACATCTTTATTTAAGTTTTTATGCCATTTGTCACAGTTTAATATTTAAATATATGACGTGTTGTTTAATGGAATATCTTTACTGATCTCTGTTTTATTGCAAATTCCTTTGTATTTTACCAAAGGAAATGTGTCAGTCTGGTCAAATGATGAGGGTCATGCTTAACACAAAAAACCTTTTAAATGCTTAGTTTTATGTTACATTAAATTAGTCTGTAAGAGAGTTATGTTAAATTGGGTCTGACCTTTTTTGGTCAGGGCTTTGTAGCCTTTTTAGTTGATTTCATAGTCAAAAGTTGTGTAATATTTTGAAATAAATAATTGTAAAAATGTTAATCTATCTCTTTCTGTGTGCTGGTTATATTAGGTAACAGAAAATGTAGTTATTCTTAACTTCATCTTCTTTTGAAGTCTGACCTTGGAGGAGAAAAACTTAAGCCATTTCTTGATGATGCCAGACAGTTCTGTGCTGTTTTATTATTTCAGTAAGTTCAGGCCTAAAGACGGAACGGGCCCCTCGCAAAAGGGCACTAGTTCAGCTTTTACTGTCGCCATAATAAATCTGGATGACCTCAAAAACTTTCCGACTTAACAGTGACACAACACGGCCACGTGAGGGCAGTGTAACACCACGCATGAGACCAAATCTTCACTCTGCGCTTTGTGGTCGTTCCTGACCGCTTCTTCCAACAGTGTAGAGAGTGAGAATACTTTATTCACAAATATATCCACAGTGTCATAAGACCATATTTTTTAAAGTCAGATGTCAGCAATCGTGCTCCAGTCCCCTCTTTGCGGATGTGTGTCTGAACTTTCTGAGTATTGACAGACACCGGGCCTGTCTGGGATGGACACTATTTCTGGCCCTGCTCGGATTACTGCCAGTGACCTCGTAAAGAAATGAAGAATCTATTTGGGAGGGGGATAAAAAGCATAGGAACCAAGATGTCTGTTCTCATTAACCTTCATGGCAACTCTAAATCGATGACCAAGTCCTGTTTTTTGGCGCAATGTATCACAAATTGGCTATTTGGGTGGAAGATGTCAAAACACTAAAAAAATACACTACATCACCAAACCCATCTTTCGACCTGAAAAGTATAAAGCGTGAGAAAAACACTGTACAAAGTTATTAGAAGTAATCGCCTCTCTCTTCGTGGTGGGGTGCGAACGTTGTGCGCACGGTATAACCCTATCTACTTGGTTCATTGGCCGCCAGGGCGCAGCGTAATGCACTTGTGTAATTAGTCGTGTCGAGCCTATCATTAACAAAGAGGTCCCACCTTTACCGCCTCGGGCCTCGGGCTGGGGTCCTCTGGAACTTCACCATTCACAGTTCTTGAACAACTCGCCTGGGTGGCCTTATTTCGTCGTGCCCTAAGTATTGATGTGTTTGCCCTTAGAAATGTTGACGTACTACCGTCCTTAAAAACAGGTCGCATGGTTTGAGAAAATGGACTGGAGACATGTCAGGACAGGAGAGCTCGTTGCAAGCGAAGACTCTGGTGGAAGGTGGAAGCTGTGAGTAAAGTCTGAGCTGTGATTCACACTTCAAAATTAGGAGGAAGCTTTTCATCACACTGGATTTCTAGCGTGAGATCTCCCACCAGCTGATTTGTCTGACTGTTTGTGTCCTATTTTAGTTTCTTTTCCACTTCCACTGGAACAACCATATTGGCAGTAATATTCTTAGGTTTGAGGTCCATTATTTACACAGCCATGCGCTCTATATCTTTGACTTTTGGCCAAAGCTGTTCTTACAGTCATTTTTCTCTGTGTTTTACAGCGTGATCATTCGTAAAATCTGATTTATCTCAAAAGACAAGCATTTCTCACCACTGAACTCTATCAGTGAACACAATCCGCTCATCTTACCTTGTCCACGTTTCCAAGCGTCCCCAGGAAAACCGGAAAAGTGTGCCTTTTAGAGGGATTAATGCAGGAATATTGATTTATGAGAAATACATAGCCTATCCCTCAAGTTATGAGCAGATATTTCCCAAATGTTTTTCTTCCGTGGGCGATGATTATTGGGGGAATAATCCCACAGGAGATCCGATATCCCCTCGTCTCTGATATATGACACTCCAAGAGGCCTTTTGCCTGCATGTACTCTTACCTTTTCCACAATACCGCAATATTTAAGGACGATTCTGCAACCTTTAACATGCCAGTTCTGCTTTAGAATGGAAAACTGAAACTGATACACACTGTGAAGCACGTTAAAAGAATCTGGCTCTGTAAAAACAAGTAGAAATGTAATGGGCAGTTTAAAGGCAGTAAATTAAATTTCACGCTATTTACCTTCGCACTTTGAAGTCCAGCAAAGTGTTTATGTCACATGATGCGGTTTTCTCTGATACTGTCTGGCCTCTCTAAGGAGACTAGATGAGATAAGTGTTATATGGGCTGTTGCATCCATTAGCTGCCTCACCTTAAGATCCCCATTGCGACACAACTAGTTTCCAGTGCAGACAGGATATATAATGTTTGATCAACTCTGAGTTGTTCTTTTTTCTTTTCTGTTCTTTCTTCGTGTACTCCTCACACAGTCAAACTACGTTTGCCTGCAGGTGGATTAGCCCCTTGACAGTGCAGAGCAGAGCCCAGTGACAGGACGGAGCCCAGTGACAGGACGGAGCCCAGTGACAGGACGGCCCGGAGCTGTCCGACCTACTGAAGCTATATGCAGCGCGTCTGGCGCTGTCCATGGTGCTGGAACTCGGAGTTTTACTTCGGTTTAATGGTTTTACTTGAATCCCGCAACTGTAAGGGCTACGTGTACCTCACTCCTGGCAAACCTGGCAAAACAATGTCTTATTTGTTCTTACCGAACCAGACACACACATTTGTAGTAGATTCAAGCCTAGATTAATCGGTTGAAAATGACAGCATTCTCTCGCTGTACTGCAAAGTTGGCAAAACGGTCATGAGGAAGTTAGGACAGTGCTAGATAAAGATGCTCGGGATTGTTCCATGTTGCGGTCCTGAAAGTCATTACATTTTATGTTCCGTGGCTCTTTTTGTAATTCTTTTTTTTTTTTTTTTTGGTAGGTAAGTTATAAGGCCCTGCTCCCTCCACTGACGCAGGGCTCTTCATATGGCCAGTAAAGATAGCAACAAGGAAGACATCTGAATGTATCGGATACACCTCACCTTGGGTCGTTAGCAGACATCAACCTCCTCTAAGTCTTAACGACTGCAAATACATCGCATAGCAATCAATAGGCATCAACAGACTGGAATATTCTGGGGATGGAATAATTAATAGGCTGTCTCCTGGTGCGTAATGGAGAAACGCTGGTGATTAAATTCCGTTTAACATCTGGATTCAGGTGTGTGCGGGTGTGGGGTTACTGGTATTCAGACACCATCTGTAACACAATGGAAGTGTAGAAGCTATGGGGGGTATTATGCGATGAGGAGGGGTCATCACCCCTGCAGATTATAGCACCTGTCAGTCAGAAGCCATGACAGTCATCAGACCCATCCTCAACTCATTACACACGTGGAAGCTATATAGAAGTTATAAGCAAGTAATGAATTTGTGGCATATTTAATGTAAGGCAGCCTACCACACTGAACTAAAATGAAAGGCTTTGTACCTATTTATCTTACTTTAATTTAAGAAGCACAATTTTCATGTACAATGTATGACAACTGTAACTGTCAAGTGTACACCCAATTAACACCATCTATTCGGTCCAAGTCCCTTGTTTCTTGTTAAAGATAACTTATTTTTCCCTTTTGCGACTTGTAGGGCCTACATTTGGGTTATTCTGTTAGTGACCTGTTGCGCACCTGCCACGCTGTAAGACCTTGTAAAATTCAGTGAAACAAATTATAAAACGTAGATATGTCAAGTACTTAACGTTGGCAGAAATGAGACTGAATGACTTGTTAAGCCGAGCTCTTTCTAAAGTCGTAAGAATGGTTATTATATGTTTCACGTATCTCCTTAGAACTGTCCCCCTCGTCCCTTCAGTCTAGGTTACTTGTGAACTACATGACATCAGTGAGATAGAGGGGGTGTACTTGGGAACTGGTGAACTGGGCGGGCGCTGATGCACGTGTTCTGAATGGGGAAGACGAGCTCGCATCGCATTTCTCATGTCCAATCGATCCCTGCTCGGGAGGAGCGACGGGAGCATAACTATCACTCCTACATCATTATACCATCACTCTCATCAGCATCTGTTCGGCGACTATAACGTCTCTTTGTAACCATCGTGCACAGGGTGGGGGGGATGAACTTGTGTGGAGTGATCGCCAAAAACACGAGCCCGGCGTGTCTTGGGGGGATTATGCACTTTTGCTGACTTTCTCCCCAGTCTGGGTTTGAGATGGGACGCGGCGAGAGAATGGCAGATTGGACCATATCGCTATTGCACGAGCTCTGTTTTCTCACACGGCTCCGGAGGGCTGGTTCTCCGGCGTGGCAGTAGCCCTCCTAACCCCTGCTTCCGTGTGTTTATGCGCGGGCTCCGGGACCTGGACTGGAGGTTCAAAAGGATTGCCCCGTTTAGCGGAAAACAAGATCAGTGGAGTCGAAGCGGAAAGTGGCAAAGCACTCTACTGTCTCGCCTGGATCGTTTACAGTTCTCCGTGATCATGCCATCGAGTGTATAGATTTAGGTAAGGTGTTTTCCTTGAAAATTCATATGCAGTTACTGTAGATTCCGATTTTAATTCCTGGTGTTTTTTCATGGCACACGGTCACTGGGCTAATGAAAGAATGGGGTCAGAGGGGCACTTTTTCGTTATGATGTGGAACATTTTTCCGTGGACAGCAGGGAGAGAAGGGGTAGTGACTGGCTGACTGACTCACTGAATTACTGGCAAGCTGAAAGCAACTTTGATGTTCTTGGCTCAGAGCGCGGCGAACACGTTTTACTGAGCAACAATTCATTAAAAGAACAGCAGGTTTTCCAACGAAAACCTCTCTGATCTCCAAGTGACCCCGCTCTCTCTCCCTGCGCGTGATTTCCATGCGTAAAAGTGGGACACATGATTAGCCGATTCAAACGGACGTCCATTCCACTGACCGTGTATAACGCGTGCTGTGGGTGAGGGCGGAGGAGACTGAGGTAAGATTTACACAGTGTTGCACCACTGTGAGGTTAAATAAGCGATCGGTAGGAGCTCGGCGCTGCCCAGCACCTATTGAGTGATCTGTGAGGCTGATCTGCTGACCGAGCTCTTTTCACGCGCCTTCTAATCGCTGTACACGGACCGTGATCGGGTGGGAACAGAGAGGAGAGCGCGCGGAGCTCAGACATTTGGGAGAGGAATGAGGTGCCGCTGGGTTCTCCGGGAAGATTGCGCACGACAGGGAGGTGTATTGCAGAACCTAATGGGCGCACTCTATTGGCACGCACGCACAGACCCCCCTCTCCCCCCACTCTCTCTTTCTTTCTTTGTGTTTCTCATAGACACCCACACAAACTGAGAAGAGAAAATTACTTGGTGCATGTTAATGGGAGCAGTAATGAGACCCAACCCCTATCGTGTTGTAATTGTTAGTCATCCATGTCTCAACCCCTCCCTCTTCCATCCCCTGTTTCCCTCCCTCTCCCTCTTTGCCTATATTTCTCATTGTCCCGCTGTTCGACTCTGCAATTTGTACTGTACTGAGAGAGTGTAATTATTTCCTCATTGTTTTAGCGCGCTGGCCTGGCACTCCACAGAAAGTGGTGTCATTAATGTGACAGGGCGGACAGGAGGGGAGAGAGGGAGAGAGAGAGAGAGAGGAGAGCCTGGTGGAGAGTCCAGGGACTTAATTCTCATTGACAGTCACATTAACACAGGAGCAGCACTCTTAATCTTTGGGAGATTACTCTCTCCAACCTGACCCCCTGTCACCCAGCCATTCTCTGCTCTCTCTCTCTCTTTCACACACACATACACCTGTATGAGGGTGCCTGGCTGTGCTGCTTTTCCTGTCTGCAGTGGATGACTTCTCCACTATGTCACCCTTATCCAGTGTCTCACACCCATCCTCCTTCCATCTCATAGCACTTTTCACAGATCCGCACACACATACACACTTGGCAATTGCTCTGCAGTCCACAGTTCTCTCTCATCTGAACCCTTCCGCTTTGTCCCCTGTCCTCCTATAGCAGCTCCACGTAAAGACACAGCTATATCCTCAGAGGGCAATTCGGCTCTACATGTTTCAACAGCGTCCTATCTACTTACCCCACAGAGAGCTGTTCAGGATGACTGGCTTGGTATGAGGGGGAATGGATTGTGTGCATTTGTGATTGTGCATGAGGACACAGCCAAGCAGAGAGGTGACGGACGGCAACGCGGAGAAAAGGCAGAGCAAGGGAGGCAAGAGAAATGAGCTGGAGAGACAGAAAAAAATATTTGTGAGATGAGGCGAGGGAAGGAGATTGTGTCAGTGTATGTGTGTGTGAAATTGAGAAACAGACCTGCATGTGTACTGTATGTGTCTGTGTGTAAAGTATTAGGAGAAACTCAGCATGATGGAATCTTATGATGCTGTGTGTGTGTGTTCATGTGTGAACACAAACATGTGAGATGATGATGTCTGTGTGAAAGGTGTTCTGTCTGGTATGCCAGATGAATAAGCAAGGATCAGGCATGTAGGACTGGTGAGGTGCCAAGAGGGCAAAAGGTGACCTCCACACACACACACACGCACACACACACAATGACATTAACAGATTGACTGTGATGAATGTATACTTCTCAACCGGGAGGTGAAAAGAGATGAGAGGAGAGGCATTCTTTCATGTCATGGGCAGAAAGATGGAGAAAGGCCAACATTTGTAAATGAGTGTGTCCCAGAACACGAGTCAGAGCATGGATAGGCATCAAGCAGCAGCAGTGGACAGTAACACCTCAAGTCATCATCAAGAAATCAGGATCAGAGAAAACCCACTCAGGGACTGATGTCTCTCTTCAAACAGGAGATCCATGACTCTAATGGAGGAAAGAGAGATAGTAGATCAATGAGTGTGAGTGTGGTGTGTATCTGTTTCTTGTCTTAACCACAAAACCACAACTGGGCAGAGGCCACGACCCTCAGTAAGAAAGGGTAAAGTTCAGATGTTGCCCACAGGCCACTGTGGTAACATTATACGTCCTTATCAGTGACTGCTGGCTCAGAATGAATCCGCTGATTTTAGCATCCATTAGCAAAATAGGTGCTCATTACTCAAAATCACTGTTCACCTCACTGGTTGTAATTTACTGACTCACACGTATTGTATTGTCGCCCTTCCTGTGTACATCCCAAAGCAGGCTTTAATTGATCTAAGAAATCTATAACATTCATTACTAAATTAAATGTCTGGATTTTAATGGCTTAATCTGCTCAGAATGATTTTACCTCTGCTGAAGTGTGCCTCAAGACAAATGAGTTTAGTCTGTAAATCCATTTTGATCATAATTTGAATAAGTTTGTTTGTAATTAAAGCCCTAACTGTAACCAGTGTTTTAATAAGAGGCAACATCACACAAGTTTATTTAAATTAGCGATAAACTCATAAATGGCTGATATGTACTGGCTTATTGCAGCTGTACTGATATCTGTGTATATGCTGGCCAATAATTTAACTACTTGCAATGCAGAAATACTAAACTTGGTTTGAATATTTTCAGTCCATAGTTTTCCAATCCATAGTATCCCACTTACACTATGCCTTGTTCACTACTCTTAAAAAAAATCCAAGGGATTGCTATCAAGATTGGTTATGTTGAAAAAATGACAATGGGCCAATATACCATTACCATATTTCTTTGCACTCCTCAAAATTCATATCTGCAATGGTCCAGTATCATTTGGTGAATATTAATAACCATTTTGTATTTTACATTTGCTGTTTTGAATATTTTGTTCTCTTTTTGCCCTTTTTAGTAATTTTATATACCAAGAGATGTACAGTAGTTTACCTGTCTTTTTATATCTGTTATAGTACTGTTTGTCTAGTTATATGAATATTTATATGAAGAAGTAATAGAAACTCATCCTCATCCTCTTTTAGCTGTCATCGCTAACAGGCATACAGTGATAACGCACCAATGAATTATAAGGTCATAGTTTACCCACATTACTGTTTATACTGTAGCAATAAACTAAAAACAAGCTTGATCCAATCCTCAGCCTTCTGAAGTGCCCCATAAGCAAACGTGTGGAAGCTGATTCCAGCTTTGGGTTTCACTTCCACACAGCAATCATTTTGTAAGAGCGGGCACCAGCTGGTCCAGACGGCGGAGGTCCCTTGTTGGAGCTCTACAGCTGTGTGTGTTCTGTGTCCTCCATTCTCCCCTCTGTCAGTCACTCAATCACTGACTGAGACCAGGCCCTGGCTGGCGACATCACACTGTCCAGGCGCTCTATAATCCCGTCTAGCAGGTCCTGCTTTGAGTGACAGTTCACACTGCCACATGGCCTCCTCCTGTAGAAGAGACAGTGAAAGGCACAGCAGCAACAGTCAGAGTTGTTACTCCCATGGAAGTAGCTGAGAGATTGAGGGATCATGGATTATTGTTCTCTTTTTGTGTTTTTTCAAGGTTTGTCATGCACGGGTGAGTTATTTTATAAACATCTGTTTGGAAATTTGGGGTAATTAATTTATGTTTAATATTAATCATTTTCAATATGGAGAAGTTCTGAGGACGCCATAACCCCTTTCCAAAAACTGAATGTAATACCACTTGCAGGCCTCAAGGTGATTTTCTCCACGGCTCTGACTCACTTTGACCATGACAAATCTCCCTAAGTGATAGTAATGATTGTAATTGAACAGGCACAGTTCCTTCCCATCGTGCTCTATCTATCACCTTGGATGCAATCTGCTGCTTCCACTTGTGTGTGTGTGTGATTTTTTTATTTTTTTTTGTGTGCATGTCCCTCTGTGTGTGTCTGTGTTTGAGACAATCCCCGTTCTTTCCCCCTGGCAGCTGGCAGATGTGCTGGTATCCATGAGCATCAGTGTGAGTGTGTGGGAGTGTTAGTGTTTGCACAAATATGAGAAGCTCCCAGCATGCTCTGCTTCACAGGTCTACAGTGAAGCTGCTGCGAAGAAGCGGTGGGGTTGTAGCAGAGGTGCAGGTGGTCATCGCAGCAGGCCTCAGACAACACTATGCTACATGTTGGGGGAAGAGGGTTTAACCCTGTGGGATGCAACGCATGAAGGGGGGGATGCAGTGGAAGGATGGGGAAGGCGGGGGAAGAGTTCAGCCAGGGCCGAACATGGGTGTTAGCTGAATGGAGAGAAAGCGTTTGGGTAGTGAGCATGACTGAGGAGGAATCTGTCAGTGGAGTGAGTGAGTGTGTGTAAACGTTTATGTCTGTGCCCTCAGTTTATATGTGCGTGTTGTGGAGGTGACGCCTTTGTAATGAAAACACCCGGCAGCCGGTGGCTGAGGGTCCCTCTTGGTGCCTGACTGATATCAGTCACCAGAGGACAATAACCTTCCTTGAGGATGGCTACTCTAATGAGGATGAAACATTATTGTCTGTGTGCATGTGTGTGTGTGTCTAGTCTCTTCACATGCACTGAAATTTAGTGGAATTGATCTGCAAAGTGGATTGAACATATTTATGCATATTTTATCCAGGTTGAAATCAGTGCTTTGCTTTGAAGCACTATATTCTGCCTGCA